TGCTTAAAATTCATTTTGTGTTCTATATATACATTTAAAAAACAATTTTACAGTTCAATTTTATGATGGAGCCTCTTACAGAAACATTAACAAATGCAGGAACTCATCACTTTCTTTTTTAGTATAATTAAATAGCTTAATTACCCTTTTATTACTAATCTTGAAATCATGACATTAAGCCAACTATCCTTACTTTAAGATGATCTAAGTATTGCTTTCTTTTTCTATTACCTTTCTAATTTATTTAGTCTATAGAAGAAAAATATTTAATGAACAAAAGATTCATTGCTTTATACCAGATGTTGAAAAACAAGGAGAGTTTTAGATTTTCAAGTGACTTTTCCCTTCCGTTTCGTAGAAGCCAAACGTTATGGTGTTCTTTTTAGAGTTGCTTAGCCCAATTTTCTTTGTCCAAGATGGTTCTAAATAGTCTATAATAAACCAATGTAGCACCATTTTTCCCCTAAATGAATCCCAAAAAAGAAAAGTGCCTTGCATCGTAAAAAAATAAATAAATCCTCATGACCTCTAAATAAGTATGTAGAACATTGAAAATTTTTAAACATTTTTCTTTAATTTTCTAAACCCATAAATTAGTTTAAACTGAAAGCCTGAAGCTTGAAGAAACTTCAGTAAATAATTTGGAAATATTTACTCCTTTGTTTTGTTATCCTAATTATTCTTTGAGGTTGTTCTGGCTCAGATATAAGCTTTTCTTTGAAAAGATGCATTTATTGAGGATAATGATTTGTGAAAGACTTTAGAGTATTTTAAATTTGTCTATTAATTAGTTCTTTGCATGGAGTTAATCCAAATTTGCCCTGCAATTTGCAATAGCAAAGTCACTTTATGGATCCTGTTTCTCCCTATTTTTATTTATATATATAAAATTTGTTTTAACAAAAACGTTTTTGCTATTTTAAGTATGATGTGAAGGAGGAGTGTTTTAACTTTTATAGTTGATAATTTAGGTTAGCACAAACAAAACTCCTTTCTCACTTTTCTCAGTCCTCTCTCGAGGTGCTTTACTGATGGGAATGATTTTCATACATTCCCTTGGTACCAAGAGGTACTATGCAACGTAACATTACATCAAGTTACATGCTAGGCTTTCCTCCCTAAAATGTAATAATACAGTAAAAGCTTGTTTTATCAAGCATAGGAGTAAAAATTAATTAAAATTGCTTTGTTAATAAGAGTCAATTCCTGTTGACCCAGGTGGTATTCCTCTTGATTTCTCTTCCCTTTCTCTATTTTATGACCCTGAAAACATGTTAATTCCATTGTGGTTTGTATTTTATTGTGTGATTATGTCATTTGGTGGCTGGCTACTTGAGTCAAGATTTGCACTGAGTGTTCAGAAATTCCAGTTGGTAAAGTGCCAGATAACACAGCTTTCCTGTAAATAGATCACTATTGGATAAGTCGGCAAAGATCTCTCTTGTAATCTAATAATATATGCTTCATTCAGCAGAAAGTCTGCTCAAAAGAATCTTCATAGTAGTACATTTAGGTTTTAAAAATGAGGTAAAGATTTTAAAAATTAGTTTCTTAGGTATACATATCCTCTCTAGTAAGTTGGGCCAAAAAATACAGATTTAGTTTATTTATAGCTGATAATTTTCCACTTTTTCTAACCACTAGAATTTTTATGTTCTCACTAAAGTGCCTGCCCAGCACTGTACATTAAAGACTCTATCACAACACTACGAAAAGGGATTGTCATGAGTACAATATTAATGTGGACAAAATGATGTTATTCTTTCTTTCATATAAGAACATTGCAAGTTCGTTTTATCTGGGATCCGTTCTTCCACCTAATGTTCATCTAGTTCTGGTAGCTCTTCCAGTCTGTCTTCTTTTTGGCTCCATTTCTGTGCTCTTTATTTCTACTGATGTTTTGTGATAGTTAACTATGATACATTTAACCAATCATGATTTAATTTCTAGAATATCTGAATAATGTATAAATGGCATAGTTCCCAACTTTAAACATTAAGTATGTAATCTGGGCATAGAATTTAAAGTGAAATTGCATTAAAACATAGGACAACTGTTTGGTCCATTTTGAAAGTGAGAAACTTAAATATTGAAAATATTCAAACTGGAATGGCAGTATTTTAACCTAATATCAGTTAATTGGTTTATATTATTGTATTTTACCTATTAGATGTTTTAAATGGCAGTTACTTTTATTTGTATCTACTCTATGGTGGAAATGTTAAATCGTAATAGCTTTTGCTACGAACTCTCAACCACTTAATTTTTAGAGTAGAATATATATTTCAGGGGGATTTTGTTTCACCTGAATTTAGAAGTAATGTCAAAAAATGTTAAGCATGTCCTTTTTAAGAAAATATAAGGTTTCTAATTGTCTTATTACCATGGTAATTCAAGTGAATTACGTAGAAGTATTCAACTGCAATCTTGAATTATAAAGTTGGGATGCATATATATGCATATATATCAGAGTCTCAACTGATGTAAAGTAAATGAGCAGTTACCTGGTGGATTCTTTTTTTTTTCTCTCTCTCCAATAACTGGCTTAACCCACACTTCCACAACAAATTTAGCTTCACTTCAGTATTTACTTTATTGTTCATTGAACAATGCTCCAAAAAGGAACATTAGGAAATAGCTGAGAATTATTAAGATTTTATTTTATTTTTGGTCAGAAAAATGTTTCTAGGGTCTTTGAATGCTGGATTTATTGTTTTTTTTTTTTTTTTTTTTTTTTTTTTTTTTTTGTCTTACCCATCCATGGCAGCTATAAAAATAAAAAAATAAATAAAAATATTCAGGTTTACATGTTAGCTCTCTTTATAGGGAGTTGCCATACCTCACAATTCAAAGTGTATTCTATAGATCAGTACATTATACTGATGTGTAATTGCAATTTACTATGCAGCAAAAATTCAAGAAAAATAACCTACAGCGTCTACTTACCTTTGTATAGGCAATTGCTTGAGTTACTCTGCTTTTAACATTTGTACTTAGACAAAATGCTTATGTATGTTTAGGAACGTCACAGTGCGAGATGCTGCTAGCCCAGACACAAAGTATTAAAATTATTTTGTGAAGAGTGGTGGTTGTATTAAAACTATTGTGCCGTTATACCTCAAAACGATTGAAAAGCTCATTTATACTGCTCATGCTTCGGAATTTCTTTCTTTAGATTGTTGGCTTCTAGGTAGAAGTAACTTAGTTTTATTCCCACAGATTAAGAAGGATAAATGAATATTGGAAATTGATAAGCACTTAAAGAGTATCTTCCAATACATTATGAACACACACAAACTATGGTCAGTAATCAATGCAAGGTGCAAATTTCAGCTCAAGTATATTTTTAATTTATCAAGTTTAAAGTTTGGAGTGAGGAAATACATGCCTGAAAGAAATGGTAGGTACTCTATGCAGTTTCCATCCCATTAAAAAAATACTTCTTGCTTTGTGCCTCTTCTCCCCATTAGTTCACCTACATACTATTCTTCATCAAATATAAGATATCTTCATCAAATACTAGACCAATATTTTAGATACTACTAAAAGGCAAAATATTAATGAATAAACTATGACATGCCCTTGATCATAAAATATACCCAGATTACCAAAATGTTAACGTGTCCAAAAAATGCATCTTAGAATCAATGGTATACAAATAGACACAATTATGTGGGGCACAATAAAAATCACACCTTCCATTGCATTATACTTTTTCAAAAGCAAACAATGCTCAACTTTGTGAATATAGTTAAACAACATGTTTTTATTTTTACTCACATTTACTAACAATGTGGCTTAGAAAATCATAAACACACTCTGATTAACTAATTGATATAGAACATAATTTTCCTCATGACACAAAATTTTTTTCCTGTCACCATTATCCCCTCTATGCCCTCTTCCACTTCCTCCCATCCCCCTCCACCCCTCCAATCCCCCACACCCTGAGCTGTCTGCCTGCTCTCTATGCTCATAACACAATTTTTATATTCTATATCTTGCTTGTAGCTATTTCCTTTAGGGGGGATATAAAGTAAGACCTTAAAAACACCATTTAAAGGAATTTGTTGGGGAGGAAAAAAAAGTAATTTGTTGAAATGCCAACTTTGGCCGGGACCGGTTTGGCTCAATGGATAGAGCGTCGGCTTGGGGACTGAAGGGTCCCGGGTTCGATTCCGGTCAAGGGCATGTACCTTGGTTGCGGGCATATCCCCAGTGGGGGGTGTGCAAGAGGCAGCTGATCGATGACTCTCTCTCATCGATGTTTCTAACTCTCTATCTCTCTCCCTTCCTCTCTGTACAAAATCAATAAAATATATTTAAAAAAAAAAATTATCTTTGAAATGCCAACTTTGTACATAGTTTTGCATCAAATTGTCCAGTGGTCAGAAATGTAGTAAAAGAATTTTATTTTGCCTTTTATTAGGCTTATTTTCTAACATGGGTGTACTTGGTAAACCTATCATGGCATTAGAGACAGTTCAGTTCATCCATGTAGGTCATCAGTGGGTAAATAGTTCACACTCTATTGGTGAAGGGCTTCTATGGTTTCATTCATTCATTTATTAAATATGTTTTTATTGATTTTAGAGAGGGTGAGAAAGAGAAAGATCAGTATTAGAGAGAAACATCAGTTGGTTGCCTCCCTTACACAACCCAACCAGGAGATCAAACCTGAAACCTGGGTATGTGCCCTGGATGGGAAAGGAACCAGTAATCTTTCAGTGCATTGGATGACTCTCAACCAATTGAGCCACACCAGCCAGGGCTGGGTTTCTATGGTTTTAGAAACCAATTTTAATTACTGCATGGAGAGAAAGCCAAAATCCAGTTGAGGTAGGTCTGAACCAACGGATGAGAAACAGGTGATCTTTGCTTTCCAAATTCATTTTATAAAGAGTACACAAAACTAATGTTATGAACCATGACTTGACATAATAGTTCAAAAGAAGACTCAAGAAAAGCAGACACTAGGATTCTAACAAAAGACTATCCACCATATGAACAGGTTTAATGATGTAACATGGAATGCAAAAGATTAGAACCATTAATAACATATCTACTAATATCTGCTTCAACTTAAAAACAAACAAAAAAGGATAGTGAGCAGAATAATAGTTCTATTATATGCCAGGATTTGCTAACTCATTGTTTTAAAGTACCTTATATTTGCTCTTACTTTAAATAAATACTATATTTTACACATAACACAGGTGGCACTTTGCCTACATTAGAATTATATAAACATTTAGATGTACATTTACATTGTTTTAATTTGAATCATCACATTTTATAAGTTAATTTTCATTTCTATTTTAAAAGGTTGGCCAGATTATGTCAATACAGCATTAGGATCAACAAATGTACTGAACTACATGTAGTTATGTCTAATTATCCAATTTCAAGTAATATATGGGAAATTACATATATTCATTCATATTTAAATGTTTCTTTGAACCAAAAATACTAATTTTAAGAATGTGGTAAATAGCCTTATTCATTGAATGCATTTCTTAAAATGAGCAGTACAGATAGCAAATACGTAACTCCTCTCCTATAGTCTACCAAGAAATAAAGCCAAATTTTAGAAAAATACAATGCAAGAAAAGATTCAAGTTAAAAATATATTCCTTTGGTTAAAAATTATCCTCTATAATATTTATTTGTAACCTAAATTCACAGCATGTTCCACCAGCCCAAAGTAATCTTCTGTCACATCTGTTGTACTACAATGGTTTTTCAACCCACTGTTTGTGGAGGTCACTGGGTTGAAGCAAACTATTTTAACTTTAGGAAGGGTATACAATCTTGTTGCATTAACTCCTTAGACAAATGTCTTTTTAAAAAGATTTTTACTTTAGGAACCTTTGATACATGTAGTTTTCTTCAGATACTGTATATCCAAACTTTTTATAGAAACCAACGTTTTTTGGTAGACATTCAAGGGTAATCTTATAACAGTTCAATTTCTTGCTTAGCAAAGTAAGGGTTGATAATAACCTGAAATTATAAGAAAAGGGAGGGAGAAGGCATAGAACCTTTGTTAATAGAAATAGATTTTAGTAACAATATGAATATTTCATGAAATTTCAAATTTGTATTAGAAATAGGTTTAGGTCATGGCCATTCCCACTATATAATTTAAATATTGTAAATGGATAAGCATTTAAATCACTGAAAGCATTTTAATTTGTTTCAAATATATACTACCCGATAATCTTCAGCCAGTTAATGAATGGGGCAAATACTAATTCGCCCTAAATAAGTTTTAAGATGATAGACAATAGATTGTCAATCATTTAAAAAATATGGCCTATATTATTTTTTAAGTGTTTATCTCGAAATCTATTCAAACTACGTAGGAACAGTCAACATTCCCACACAAAATTGGTAAGTAATAGCTTTGTTCTTTATTATTTTCAAAATGACTAATGTTTGTGAAAGTAGGTGTGAGATTAACTTTGTTTTGGTCTAATATGAAGCAGAAAAAGCAAAAAGGTATACTTCTTTCCAATATATGAATGGGATTCTAACTGCCTTGGGAGTTTTAAAAAACCTATAAAAGTTTACCTGAAGTGTTTTCTCATGTTTGCATAAATTGAAAAATCCCATCAATTTGAAGACAGAACATCTTGATTTAAGTTATAAAGTTATAAAGGGTATCACAAAGCAAAAGACTAGAATATTAGAATTTGGTCTGTTTTTAAAATTTTTAAGGAAGTGTATAAAGGATTGTACAGTAAAGACTTCTATAATATGTTTCTAAAACTTAGAAGACTGAGAACATTTTGTTTTAAAATATGACAGAGAAATGGGGAAATCACCTGACTCAGCCACAAGTTTCTGTTCCCTACTCGTGAGAATTTGACTATTAAAAATCAATAATTTATAGATGTTACTGTCTGCAAAATGGTACACTTCCAATTTCCAAACTTTATGGTAAAACTAATGTAAAAATACTTTGTTTTCGTTAAATTTAGTCTAAGCTAGAGTAAGAATGGATTCATAATTCATGATGCCAGAAAGAATATCAAACAGCAAAATATGTTTAACAAGTATCTTGGCAAGGCACTGTAAACTGAAACACAAAAAGCATCGCAATTTATCCCAGATTACTTTGTTTCTGCTTACTTACAATTTGCCAAGCTGCTTTCCTCTGCATTCATCACTAACAACAACATCTTCTATTCTTCCTCTCTGAAAATATTGACAATGTTTAATGGACTAAGCATGAAGTTTTGTTTTTAATTGAATCAACAAGTGATGGATGGTAAAAACTCACTGACAAAAATAAATGTTTTATGAACTTGAACTTAACAAACTAAAATACAATTTTATAGAAGAAATAAATCAACTTGTGGTCTAATCTTGTCTATATCCTAAACCTCCACATCCCAATGTTTTAAAGCAACTCTCAAAATCTGAAGCACCAAAGGGTAATTTTGGTTATCCATTATCCTATTTCTTGTTTAATAGGAATTTATTTCAGACATCCAAATACAATTTATTAATTTCTAATACAAAGGCCCCAAAATTACTAACTTACAGAAAACATTCCAAATGTTCCTACCTTTACTAGTTCATGTTCAGTCATGAGGAATAAAGGGGCTCTACAGGCATTAGAAATGTCACAATTAGAAAAGAATATGGTATTTTGAACCTTTTACCACTTGGAAACTGATGGGAATTTGTCTTAGTATAACATATTGAAAATACTGTGTTTTTATAAAAACAAAAAAACAAAGAAAAAAAACAACATTGGGGTGTCTAAAGATTACTGCCAAGTTTCATAAAGCGTTCTTGTTTTCTGTATGACCATATAAAATTGAATATGTTACAGAACAATTTCTAGCAAACAATTCATACTGTGTTTTTTAAATATATTTTTATTGATTTTACAGAAAAAGGGATAGGGAGAGAAAGATAATCATTGATTGGCTGACTCCTGCACACCCCACACTGGGTATTGAGCCTGCAACCTGGCTGAGAATTGAACTATAACTTCCTGGTTCAAAAGTCAACACTAAATCACTGAGCCAACACCAGGCCCAATTCATATTGTTAATACATTTTCTTCCTCATAGCAAAGTGGGAAATTGCCTTTTACTAAGAGGTTTCTAGGAAGCAGAACTTTTTCAGAGCAATATGCCTCTCATTTTACAATGAAGAGTAGTGAGAAAACAGATTTGTGTAATGGAAACTCAACACAGGTTTTGCTAAAAAAAAAAAAAAAAAAAAAAAAAAAAAAAAAAAAAAACCCTGCCCATTTTAGCATTAATGTGAACACATACCTTAGCACAGGAATGGGTGAATTTATGTTCTATTATCAGAGTTGCTGTAGCAACAATCTGTCCTAAAGTCACATCTTCCACCACTGTAACATAATAATCCCCAGATTTCTTCATGTGCTCAAAAGATTCTGTGGAAATTAAGACATTACACTGTATTAGGTGGCAAAAAAATAATAGAACTAGCTGACTTCATTATTGAACATTTATATTTCACCACAGTAGTTTGTATTGTCTTTTTTATTGATTTTTTACAGAGAGGAAGGGAGAGGGATATAGAGTTAGAAACAATGATGAGAGAGACACATGGATCAGTTGCCTCCTGCACATCCCCTACTGGGGATGTGCCCACAACCAAGGTACATGCCCTTGACCGGAATCGAACCTGGGACCTTTCAGTCTGCAGGCCGATGCTTTATACACTGAGCCAAACCGGTTTCAGCTACATTTTGTTTTTAAGAAAATACTTTAAATGACCAGGTAGTTGAGATATTAGTGATCAGTAAGTTGGAATATAGTCCATACATTTAAAGAGTATGCTAGTAAGGTAAAAGACTAATCCAGCCTTTTTAGGTGAATATTGTATATGTACCACTTCTGTGACTAAAATCATTACTCAGTTACTTTAAATCGGTTTCTTGAACTTTTACATCAGCAGATATTTGAATAGAATAAAACTCTGTAAATTTTAAACAAAAGAATGTTTTTACATGGCTCCATTCTAGAATTTTTAGTATGGTTTCTAAATATTTTGGTGTAAGTTCTGTTTTCTCCTTGTGATCTCAAGTGTTTCATAATTACGTGACTTTTTAGAAATTACAGTAACCATTTTTGTTTTCTTTGAAGGCACCTCATGAAGTAGTTGAAAAATATGTCTCCATTTCTAAGTAAATGAATATGACAGAATAAGAAAGGAAAAGACCTATAAAGACGATCAGAAAAAAAAAGGGCAATAACATACCCATCAATAACTACTTTAGAGGGCCTGGTCAAGATGGTGGCATAGGTAAACTACAGAACCACTTGCAATCTAGCTGAACGGAAGTCCTACAACGAGAGAATTAAAGCAGCAGCACATCCAGGCTGATAGGAGGGGTGGAGATGAGGGGTACAATAGTGGAACCAGTTGATCCCACACCCACGTGTGGCAGTTTCCCTGAGGAGGAAGGGTCCCTGCCCCACACCAGGCCCCTATCCCAGGATTCCAGTGCTGAGAAGAGAAGCCTCAACAACTTCTGACTTAAGAACCAGTGGGGATTGTGGCTGAGTGACATGGAGGCTGTGGGAGTCCCAGGCAGTTCCTCTTAAAGGGCCTTTGCATGGTCTTGGACTCCCCCCTGAGCTACAGCACTGGGAAGCAGCTTGAAAGGAAACTGGGACATTCAGGGAGGAATTGTCTGGAATCAGGAAAAGAGCTGGAGGGACAGCTTTAGAGGCCACTTTCTTTACTGAGCACTCCTTGCCACAGATGGACAAGCTGTGCCATATCTGAATCTCCATCATCCTGGCTCACTTTTCACCCTGCCTGGTGATTTCCTGAGGCCCCACCCCCTCCCTACTTGCAAGCTCATCCAAGTAATTTCCAGTGGCTTTTCCATACAACTGGCCCCTCTCACCTCATGCTTTGGACTTTCCTAAAATCTTACAAATAAGTAGCAGCTGGCATCCACATACCCCAAACCTCTCAGTAAGTGGCCCCAGGCCCGGCATTAGTGGCAGCCTATCCTGGTCTACAGGTTGGCCTCTTCTGGACACCTCCAAACCCAACACAAGTAGCAGCCTATGCGGACTGCTTCTAGTTCATGCTGGGTGGCCCTGGGCGGCCCTGGGCAGGACAGAGGCAGAGACCGACTTTGCACCTCCTAGGGGACCCCAGAGCCAGTTCACCCCATGTTCAACTTGGACCACACCAGACTACAACCCTCCCACCTCCAGGAATGGCTCAAGGGGTGGACTCAGCACCAAAGCTCCACTGAAGCAAGTCCTGCTCCATGGGATTGGCACCTGCACAACAGCTCCTCTGCTGTAGTGGCAACTGGTTCTCACAGCTGATCAGCCTGGGGGGGGGGGGGGGGGTGTCAATCCTTCCCAGTGATGCCAACAGTAATCAAGGCTTAACTAGAATAGGACAGGGCACACAGCTCACACAAGGGCACACCTAAAGTGCTCAGCTCTGGTGACTGGAGAGGCTGATCCACTGGGCCCTACAAAACACCTACTACAAAAGGCCACTCTACCAAGTCCAGGAGACAGCTCTAATACATGGAAACAAACATAGGAAGCATCCAAAACGCTGAAACAAATATGTCACAAATGAAAGAATAGCAAGAAACCTCCAGAAAAAAACCTCGATGAATGTAAGCAAGAAATACAGAGTTCAAAGCAATGGTTATAAGGATGCTCAAGAAACTTAATGAGAGCTTCCAGGAACTTAGAATTTCAAGGAAATTAGTGTGAACATCAACAAATAAAAAGAGGACAAGTCATAAATGAAGCATACACTGAAATAAAGAATAATTTACAGGAGATCAACAGCAGAATAGAGATGCCAAGAATCAAAACAAGAATTTAGAATATAAGGAAGCAAAAAACACCCAATTAGAACAGCAAAAAGAATAACAAATATAAAAAAAAAAAAATGAACAAGAAATCTAATGAATAAAACAGAACCAGAAGCATGGAAACATGGAACTAACTGATAAATCTAAGAGGGAAGCGGGTGGGGCAGTGGGGAGAAATTAACCAAAGATCTTATATGTATACTAGTGGGGGAGGGGAGGGGGTTTGTCCCCTCAGCCCAATCCGGGATCCCTCTCACAATCTTGGACTGCAGGCTCCTAATCACCTGCCTGCCTGTCTGGTTGTGCCTAACTGCCCACTACACAAAACTATGTATGGTGCCAGATGGGTACTTGAAATATTGGGGGAATACTTTCTAAAGCATATGACTGACTAACCACTATGCACTTAAAACTAATACAAAATAGTACTGAATGTCAACTGTAATTGGGAAAATTTTTTTTAAAGAGACCAAAAATAGCTAATTAGCTATTTGAATAATTTCTATTTGAACATAAAGTATAGATAGAACAGATCTCTAAACAAAAATAAAATATTGTTTCCCTTTATTTCTTTTCATTCAGGAAAAAAAAAAAAGTGGTAGTACTTACTCATAAATTGTTCAGGATTGACAACTCCAGTCTCTGTCAGCTGACCTAGTACCTTAAAAAAACCTAGTTTTGCAAAAACAGATTTCCAGTCATGAGAAGAGCAAATGAGATATCAAATGAGGCAATGTATTAAATAAGCACGTGGGATTATGAGCAATTTTTTAAAATTTTAATGATTTTAAAATTACTTCAAAAGATTAAACTAAAACCCTTTATTCTTCCTGTAATCACTACATAAAACAGAAAAATAGGTTTAACCAAAGTTTTTCCCTGCATAAGATTTTGGAATAGTGTTAACCTTAATGTTCAATATGTTCAATATTTATAGGACCAGCATGTACATTTCTCAATGTAATCTGAATTAAATACAATGCAAAGGATGCTTCATATTCCAAATATGTGCTTCGGTTTTACTTAAAAGTGCAAGAGTCTCAATGACCAAATATGATACTATATAAAATATAAATTAAGTGTTGAGACTACAATTTTTAATTTCATTCATGTTAATGTGGCACAGCATATTTTAGAACTTTGAGAATCTTTTTTTTTTTTTTTTTTTTTTTTAGATATTTTTTATTGATTTCAGAGAGGAAGAGGGAGAGTTCCAAACATCAATGATGAGAAAGAATCATTGGCTGCCTCCTGCACGCCCCCCATTGGGGATCAAGCCTATAATCCAAGTATGTGCCCTTGACCAGAATCAAACTCAGGACCCTTCAGTCCACAGGCCTATACTCTATCCACTGAGCCAAACTGGCAAGGGCAACTTTGAGAATCTTAATATCTATACAGTCAAAGACAATTTGACCAAAATTAGTTTCGTATTTCTTACCAAAGGGAAAACGGACAAAATTGACTTTTGGTTACAAAAATTTAAGGAAATCATTTTGGAAAATATAGATGTTAAAAAATGAAGTAACAAGTAGACCTTTTGCATCTTATTCAAGGTAAATTATCTCTATTCTTATCCCCCATCCAGCTTCTAAAAGAAAGTTCTTCCTTATGTGCCATTACACATGATAATTTCTACTTTTATAAGAAATCTTTTGGCCTTTCATAGGAAGGAACAGTATTATACGTTAGTCATTTGAAGTATTTCACAGTAATATATGGTCTTAGCCATGACACATACACATTGGAATTGTGGTTCTCAGTCACTTTAAAAATGAAATACAAAACAATCTAAAGTCAAATATTATTTTTTAAAATTATCACTATCATGACTTTTGTGGAGAAAACAGAATGCTAACTACAGTTCTAACCAGGGTTGGTAAACTTGAGTGCATACCTCTATTTAAATCAGCAGTACAAAGAGGCCTCAAAACCAAACCTTCTCCAGGATGAGTTGGGGAAATGGCTGGAGAAAATGTAGCTGTATTCTGGCTCCAGTCCACTTCTTGGAGTAGACGTGGGTCAAACATAGGTGTTTCATCAGGTTTCATTTTTGCAGTAAGATCTAAAATAAAATTTTAAATGTTAAGGCAATTTAAAAAATATATTCTTGTTAATTTCAGAGAAGAAGGGAGAGGGAGAAAGAGAAACATCAATGATGAGAGAACCATTAATTGGCTGCCTCCTGCACACCCCCCACTGGAGATCAAGCCTACAACCTGGGCATATACCCTTGACCGGAATCAACCCGGGATCCTTCAGTCTGTAGGCCAGTGCTCTATCCTCTGAGCAAAACCGGCTAGGGCAAAACATTTTATTTAATTAAAGGAAAGTTACTATGATTGCTGTACCCAGTTAAAGAAAACATTCTATTTGACACATGCCTCTAGCTCTATGTTGTATATCAATAATACTAGAGGCCTGGTGCATGGATTCGTGGGGCATGACCTGCGGGGATTGGTCCGCTGTGGGAGTGCTGCTCATCCAGGTCAGCCAAGCGGTGCCCCCACTGTAGGAGTGCACTGACCACCAGTGGGCAGGTGGGTGGGAGGTAATCAACCAAAGACCTTGTGTACATGTAAACATAACCCATGGACACAGACAATAGGGTGGTGAAAGCCTGGGGGGCTGGGAAGGCTGAAGGGAGTTAATGGGGGTGGGAGAGAGGACATATGTAATATTTCCAACAATAAAGATTAAAAAATAAATACATAGATCAAAAAAGCAACCATGTTTGTTACATGTTGCTTGGGGTAAAAAAGAAAAATGAAAACTTTTAAATGAAACTCTCAAGTGTGGCCTGAAAATTATTCTGGAAGAAAATAAAGAGAAGTTTCCTTCAAATAAATAAATAAACAAATAGTAAGTGGACCCAGAAAAAAAAAAAAAAACTCAGGTCATATTATATCCTAAACAACACTATACCTGTCTCTAAGAATAGTAAGGGAAGGAAATAACTTTTGATGGTTAAAACAATCATTCCTATCAATTTAACAAGCCTACAGTCCTTTTGAGACTTTTTTTCCCCAGATAAACATTTTTTTTTTTTAAGTATATATAAGTCTCAGGTGGGGACATATTTAATCTGGCAAACCTACGAAACATTTTTTATAGGTTAATTTTAGTGCAAGTATCTTAGTGTTTGTCCCTGATAAATGGGCCCCTGAGGCTTACAGGTCTAGTTTTATCTGAAAGATGGGTAACAATGTTGTATTTTAAGTATGCAGATTAACAGGCTAAATATTTATCAATTAAGTAAAATGGATACATTAAATTCAAGTGCCAGAAGTATTAATTTAACTTCCTCACGGCAACACATTACTTAAACATTTTGACGTTCATGTTATTTAACAAGTTGTAACCATGAAGTTTAAAGAAAGTTCAGAGGGGAGTGTAGATGAACATAAGAGACAATTTTAGCCTGGCCAGCATGGCTCAGAGGCTGAACTTGGCCCTATGAACTAGGAGGCCACTTCCATTCCCAGTGAGGGCCCATGCCTGGGTTGCAGGCTCGATCCATCAGTGTGGGACATGCAGAGGCAGCCTATCAAGGGTCCTCTCTCAACACAGAAGTTTCTCTCTCCTCCTCCTCCTCCTCCTCTGAAATCCGTATTTAGAAATCAATGATACTTGCTAACATGTATTGAGTGCTTTCTATTTGTTAACTCAAAAACACAATGTATATGTATCATTATTCTGTTTTGCAGACCAGGAAGCAGGCATAGCGACTTGCTCAAGATAAAGAATCAATAAGGAAGAGATTTAGGATTTAAAAACGGGCAACAGAGCCTGGCTGCCCAGGGCCCCACATCCGGATTGCCTGCTGCCACGTTCTTGCCTTTACAAGGCCCACGTATGCCTAACCTGAGCCCGGTAAATGCCTAGAGAATGAATAACGAATGGTGCTAAGACTTACCTGGAGGTTACATTTCAGAAAATCCAGAAGGAGAAAGGTTTGCAAATTGCCACAAGCGATAAAACAAAAACCATACACCAAATTCAATGTTTCTAGGATCACTTCAGGTTTTCATTCCGTTGACTATTTTTTTGGATACAATTCCAACAATTGGGTTTGCCAACCTCTATAGCAGACCCGGATACAAACGGGGAGCAGCTGCTGCTAGAAGCAAGCAACTGAAAGGAACAAGTAATAGGCACTGGGAATGAAGGTTTTTAAGTTGATTTTAAAACTGTCTTACGTATTTCAAGAGCTCCTGGGGCATCTCTATACTCCCTCAGGGATTTGTGCCGGTTGGGACTAGTGGTTAGCCTACATACATTTTATAACAATTTGAATTTTTAATCTAAAGAACATCCCATTTGCTGATGACTTCCATAAGCTTGGCCACATTACTAAAACTGTGCAATTACACTTCACTTGGGAATTTTAAAAAATATTTCTTGGTGGTTTTATTTTATCCTTGTAATCGAGGCATCCTCCCCAGTCAGTGGACCAGGAAATTGAACCACGTGGAGCTTCAAGGAATGGACCTCACCGTGGCACACGAATGAGTGGACGGGACTAGAATCCTATCTTGTTTTCCCATCTGGGCTCTAATGACCATATTAAACTGACACCAGTCTTAAACATCATCCTAGGATTTAATAAAAAATGTAAAAACAAAAAACAAACAAACATCATCATAGGTAGCTTTGTCTCCCAATGCTAAAAAAAAAATGCCTGCGGCTCCTGCCTAAAAAGAGCTAAAGCATTCTTCAGATCCATCCCTTGACTTGTCTGTAAGCGGATATCTCAACAGCTCTAACTCCATAACCGCCTGTTTCATTGAGTATGAAACGGAGCTCGGTTTTTATACATAAGACATAAGCTCCTATTGGAAAAAAAATCACAGTACGCATGTTTCTAGGGGTAGGGGCCCCGTGGAAAAGGACAAAGGATGCCCCCCGTTCCCGCAGGGAAAGCCGGATGCAGGCAGTGAGTGCAGCAGGTGAGCTTAGGAGCAGGAGCCTGTCCTCAGGTGGCTCCCGGCCGCGCGGGGTGCACCTGGGAAAGGAACGGGGTGCGGAGGGATGGATGGGGTGGTAAGGAGGGGGCTGTGGGATTCGCGCCCATTCAAATCCAATGACGACAGAGACTGAGCAGCCGTCTGGATTCCCGTGCCGAAGCCTGGTGTGCAAAGAGTCAGTTTCTACCCCGGCCCCTGCTCGGGCCCGACCAGCGACACCCTGGCCAGGCAGAGCCACTGCCATCACCCCTCCCCTCCGCTGCCGCTCCGGGCGCGTGTCTGTCCGCTCCACAGCCTCGTGTGCACGCCCCCGGCTGCAAGGGTGAATGCGGGGCTCCCCACGCGGCGCCGCCTGCTTTCTTCCCCCTGCCCCGGGCCCACCTCGCCTCACCCCGGGCCCACCTCGCCGCGCCCGGCGGCGGCGCACCTGTTGGATGGACCCAAAGGCAGGCCCGCCGCGGCCCCCGGGACCCCGGCGCGCCCCGCCTGGCTCCCGGGCCCCCAGCCCTCCTCACCTGGAGGCCCCGCACTCCGCGCTCCGCTCCGGCTCCGACGGGCTCTCACCACCTGGGTACACAGCCCGGATCTGGATCCGGATCCTACTCCGGCGCCAGCACCACCTCCGGCAACACCTCCGGCACCTCCTCCGGCACCTCCCGCGCCACAGACGCCCGTCCCCCGCCGCCCCCGCCAAGACGTGGCAGCGCCTACGCCTCCCGCGGCCCCCGCCGCTGACGCAAGGCCTGGCGCAGGGGGCGGGGCGGGGCGTCTGGGGCCGTGACGCACCTCAGGGGCGGGGCGTATGGGGGCGGGGCGGGGGCGGGGCCTGCGGCTATAAATTCGCGCCCGCGGTGGGGGCGGGCACATCCCGGGGACTCCGCTCCGCGGTGCCGCGATGTCGGATTCGTACCCCGCTCCCCCAGGCCTTCCCCACCGCGTCGGTAGGTTGGTTCCGCGGAAATAATCCTACTCAGAGTCTGCTAAGCACCATCACGGGTGGCTGGTGTGGGCCTCGGGTTCGCGGAGTCCCAGGCCACGGCCTGCGTCCCCTTCCTGCACCTCTGCTGCCCCCTGTCCTTGATAGTTCAGTAACCGGGACTTTGGAGCTCCTCACCCCCTTTCTGAGTCACAAATCTGAGGCTGCACGTTACTCCTTGGAGGCTGTTGTTTTGTTTCTCCCTCACATTCTTTGTGCATGAACTAGTCCCTCCCAGAAGACAGTTGGGGAGGAAATGTCGGTCTCCTCCTGTCTGGGATGGCGTTGGAACTGGCGTCTCTCCAGCTGACAGAGGAGGACAGAGGCGGCAGAGACCAGGCATGCTGCTAACCGTTATGTGGGACAGCGCCCCACAACACATAACGGCCTGGCCTGACATGTCAGTACTTGCTGAGATGGGGAAACCCTGGGTTCGGAGAAGAAAAGGCCTTTCTGTGAATTCCCATTTCCAAAGCGTTCTTACCGAAGTAGCACGTGTACCCATTTTACTGATTACGAAACAGGTGCGATAATTTAACAACGTTCCATCGTTAGTAAACCCCCCCCCCCCTTTCTTGCCTTGTAGCATAAATTTGCAAAAGTAGTTTGGTCTACAACAATATTGTTCAAAGAATTAACACTAGGCATAGTCTGCCAGAAATGGTATATTTTGCTTTTGAGATTTACATTTCAATGAACTCTTATTGATTCAGCATTTTCACAACTTAAAACATCAGTGTGGCTGATGGCATTCACATCTCTGCATCCAATCTTCTTTTTACCCATACATACAAAAGAATATATGAGACAAAAATAAACACCACTAGCTTAAGAAACATATAGCCTACTTTTCTTACCAGACTCTGGCATTGTTTTTTCAATGAGTTTCTCCTGACCAAGAGAATCCTGTAAATTTTCCTGTAAATCCTGTAAAAGCGAAGAGTGAAACAATTATAAAATGCATCACAGAACACAGGGGTTCTAAGAAGTACCCTGAACTATCTTCATTTCAGACATTCTCCTCCTTAGCCCCTGTGTGCCATAGGAACCTAATTTCTCCTTAATATTAGTCAAATTCAGTCACTTCAGCCAGTAAAGTGGCCCTGTTGCAATAGGAGCCCAACATAGATTGGTGACAATCACAACTTCTATTTTAATGGGATCATTGGTGTGTCCTCTAATGATTTTTATTTTATGGATTTCTAAATAGAGGTATAATTTACATATAACATGTATTAGTTGAGGTGTAAAACAATGATTATATATATATATTGCAAACTGATTACCTCATAGTGAATATCCATCACCACACGGAGTTACAAATTTGTTTTTCTCTTGTGAAGAGAATTTTTAAGAGCTCCTCTCAGCAACTTGCAAGTGTACAATACAGTAGTATTACAATAGGGTCACCATCCCTAGAACTTATTTATCTTATTAACTGGAAGTTTTACCTTTTAACCAGCTTCATCCATTTCACTTACCAACCACCTGCACCTCAGGCAACCTCCAATCTGTTCTCTATCTATGAGGTTGTGTGTGTTTTAAAGAATTGACAGATGTGTGTAGAGGGCCCCTTGGGAATGCAGGTGGATGACCTTTAATTATCACCAGCTGAACTCAAGGCATTTCCTCAAAATGTGGGAAACCGTTATCAGTCGGATTTCTTATCTTTATCCACGTGCTTGGAATGAGGAACTGATAGGACCTTCGCTTACCCAGGTCTTGATATGCTAAATCCCAGGTGTGAGGGAATGAATAGGACCTGGGCACATCCAAAACTTTGACCTTAAACCCCCCTTTGGAAATCATTAAATGCGCTGTATTGTCTGTGGTGGGTGTTGACTGTCTCTCCATCAGAGTGACAGCACCCCATCTGGATCCCAGCTTGAATCTATTTCTGTGTCTTGGTCTCTTTTTTCCTTTAATTACTTAATCCCCAGCTCCTCCACTCAGGAACCTGTCGTTTTCTGCGTGGGTGGCGGAAAACAGAGAAACAGCCCCCCAGAGTTATGAGATCATACAGTATTTGTCTTTCTCTGTCTGACATATTTCACTAGAGCCATGGTCGGTAAACTGCGGCTCGAGAGCCACATGCGGCTCTTTGGCCCCTTGAGTGTGGCTCTTCCACAAAATACCATGGCCTGGCCGAGTCTATTTTGAAGAAGTGGCATTAGAAGTTTAATACCCTTTGCACTCCGCTGTCCCCTCTCAGGGGACATCGGAATTCTAGCATATCACTCGGATGTCCCCTCTCAGGGGACATTGCAGTTTATTAGTGATTACGGGGAAGCACGTTTCCGCTGCAAAGTAGCGTCGAGTAGCTGGTAGCCAATGTCCAGAATGGTTCGGAGTGCAAAGGGTTAAGTTTGAAAAAATTAGGCTCTCAAAAGAAATTTCAATCTCGTACTGTTGCTATTTGGCTCTGTTGACTGAGTTTGCCGACCACTGGCCTAGAGTAATGCCCTTACACTTCATCCTTGTTGCAAATCATTTCCCTTTTATGACTGAATAATGTTGCATTAGGAATATATACCACAACTTCTTTATCCATTCATCTGTTGATTGACATTTAAGTTGTTTCCCTATACTCCCTTTTATAAATAATAAATAATGCTGCAAAGAACCTGGGGATACAGATATCTTTCCTGTTTCCTTGAGATAAATACCCAGAAGTGGGATTGCTAGATCGTGTGTGGGAACTCTAATCAGAGTACGCCGGACGATCAAGTCCATTTGCCTTACGCATGCATGCAGGGGAGGACACAGCGGTGTTATTAGGTGAAAGGCCCCTTTGCCTGATGCAGGTGCGAGGGCAATGCCTCAGTAGTAGAAATATACTTACTGGGCCCGAGCACCCTCATGTAACCTGCTTCTGTTCATGTAGCACCAGCGTGTATCACTGATTGGAACGAGGCCTCTCTTGTGTGAGCGTGTCTGTAAGTCCCCACTGACCAGTCAGTGCTCGGCCACTTTGTTTGTAATGAAGCGTGTCCCACCCACCTGTTACCCGAGTGCTTTTCCCATTCCCTGCTCCCAGGAGGGTCAGGTCCCTGCCTGAGGAGCTGTGGACTGAAGGATCCCAGGTTCAATTCCGGCCAAGGACGTGTACCTTGGTTGTGGGCACATCCCCAGTGAGGAGTGTGCAAGAGGCAACTGATCGATATTTCTCTCTCATCAATGTTTCTGGCTCTCTATCTCTCTCCTTCTCTCTGTGAAAAA